GCCTGGCCTTGAACTCTTCCAGGGAGGGAGCATCCACAACTTCCTTGGGCAACCTGTTCCAATGACTCACTACCCTCATAATGAAGAATTTCTTCCTTTCATCAATCTAAATTTACCCTCTTCCAGTTTAAAACCATTACCCCTCATCACTACACTCCCTGATAAAGAGTCTCTCCCCATCTTTCTTGCAGTACTTTACTCCTTTGTATACTGGAAGGCCACTATAAAGTCTCCCTGGACCCTTCTCCCATCTGAACAACCCCAACTCTCTCAGCCTGTCCTCACAGGAGAGGTGCTCCATCCCCCTGTCATCATGGCCATCCTCTGGACTCACTCCAACAGGTCCACGTATTTCTTGTGCTGGGAACCCCAGTGCTGTACTCCACACAGTGTGCCAGGTGAGGTCTCACCTGAGTGGAGCAGAGCGGTGGGTTCACCTCCCTCAAGTTTGTTTTTGATGATGCCCAGGATAAAGTTGGATTTCTGGACTGTGAGCTTTCACTTGCAGGCTGGTGGGCGTGTGCAGGAGCAGATGTGAGCCTGCCTTGTGATTGCAGGAGTGTGTGTTTTGGTACACAGCACAGCTCGTAGTGATGTGAAAGGGACAGTCAGAGGTTCTGCAGGGAAGGAGAGGAAGAGGGTAGGCTACCACCCATCGAGATGTCTCCTGCTGAGTGCTCCGTGGCCACCTCCAGAGCCCAGTGTGATGAACACAGCAGCACAAGCAATGCAGGGTCACCAGTCTGGCTGCTCAATGTACAAGCTGCAGCCTGTGTATCTCTGAACTGTGCATTTCATACTAATAAAATGCACGTTTCTAAAAGCTAAGTACGTTAGAACAAATAGCCAACCTGATTCACAAAACCTTAAGCAAAGGAAAAATCCATGTCAGCTGTTGGCAACCAGCTGCAGGAGTGAATTCTCCTCACCACTCCATGTGCCCTGCTCCCCAGCTCTGTTCACTGGCTCCCTCTCTTCTGCCATCCTGAGATGCTTCTGCCTGTCTGCTTCTGCTTCCTAAGCCCTTCACAGTTCACATTGGTCTCCTGCCCTCTTGCTTTGTGTTTTCAAAGCAGCAGCTTCAGGCCTCCTTCTGTGCCTGCTTCAGCTAGAGGAACCTCCCTTCATCATTTTCAAAATAACAGATTATTCAGGACCACTCTTTGACCTGTCATCAGAACTCTCTCCTGCAAAAGCCTTGATGCCATTAAACTTCCAGCGTGCTGAGGCCACTGCCTGTTACACAGCCCCTCTCGCCTGGGGTTTTTGTGCTGCTGTCAGAATGTCTAAATCTTCTCATGTACTCCAATGGTACATTTACCAAGGGAGGGATAATCCTCCTGCTTCCACTTGTGATGTTAGGTCATGCTATATAGTTTAGGACTGGGGTCCTTGTATCCTAGGACAATGTATTCAATGCACTAATAATCTATTTTTTAATTATTATACTAATACTCCACTGTTCTTCAAAAACTCTCTTTGCAATATGCCAGGTAGGGTTTCTCAGAAACATTTCAGTTATATACTCCTCCTGATTACGGATGGACCAAAACGGGGTGCACAATATGCAAAAGAATTGTGCTGTCTAGCGATAGAGGGTCTGTGATCACTGACATAGATCTATCAGTGTCCCTCAGAGCTGCCCGTCCATTAGCCTGGGCTCATCTGGAGCAGGCAACCATACAGTTAACAAGGAGTTTAACAGAGGCTGCCAACTGGCCTGCCTCAGGTTGAGACAGTGGGAGGGCTACTTTACAAATGGACAACAAAATCGTTAAAGGTGTAACAGATTTATTTAAAGAGGTATGAAATAATGAAGATAAGATGTATGTATGTATATTAAAGAAAGAAAAAAAAAGAGAAACCGAAATAAAAACCTCCACAAAAGGATTCTAGAGCTGTGTGGTGCACCCCCGGTGAGCAGCAGGGTCCGGAGCAGCAGCAGGGGTGCTGCGGGGCAGGAAGGCGGCGGGGACAGCCGGGACACAGGAGCAGCAGGGAAGCCGAGGAGAGGAACGGGGGTCAGAGTTCTGCTCAAGAGCTGAGTCTCCTCAGGAGTGGCAGTCACAGTCCCCCTGGAGTGCTGTTCCTCCTCTCCATCCGATGAGAAAAGGTTCCCCCAGTCCCAAAAGACTTGGTATATAAGTCCAAAGCTTATATACCTCCCCAGGTTCAGGTGGGAGTGCCCAGTACTCCCCCCAAGGGCAGGCAGTCTCACAATGGGTGCCTTGCCTCTGTGAACAGTGGGATATTTTTGGATCCCTTGCTGGTCTGGGCTATTGTCAGTGCAGCTGGGTTCATGATGGTCCATTAGGAAGCAGAGAGGACCCCTCCTGCTGGATGCAGAGGTGTTAACACCTGCCTGTATCTCTTTCCTTATCTATTGTAGCCTGGGGGGTGGTGGTGTGCCCTGGGCAGATGCTTTCTCTCCCACCTCACGAAAATGAAAGAATTCAAAAAACAAGCATACACCAAAAGAACGTGCCCCCTCTCAAGCACCCAAACCATGACATGGCCATATTTCCAGAA